CTCAACGAACCCAAACTTGTCACCTCGGCGTGTCACAGATCGAGTCCGTACGTTCTATATCGCGGTGATATGGTAGGGTAACTCATAAATATTAATAAAGCGGCGTTGTGTAAATTGATCAGCGCGAGGCCGTACGCTTTAATAAGGCCACCTACTATTACGAATGATCGGTAATGCCCTCGATTGACAAGCATCGCAGAGAAATGAGAAGAGCCTTAAAGTTCTTGGCAAGTTCGATACAAGCGTTTGCAATTAATTCGCCGATTCAGCTCGACAGCCGGCGAACGCCATTAAAATTCCCTGCGAGCTTGCGCAACTTGCTTTCGAATCTCTTGTGTGGCGAAGCTTTCCAGAGTATATCGCCGATTTCGATAACATTCGCTGTGTATCCCCCCGATGCGTTTTCTCGCCGCTGACACGAACGTAATTGTGCGTACGTAAAAAGACGACGTTCGATTCACGGAGAGGGTCCCAAGAGTAAGGTCTATTTATACGTGCGGGATTCGAACCAAAGCCAAGTTGTATCTACGATTTACGTCGTAGATAACCCCGTATGAGGCAAGGCCAGTTTCCTGTTAAATAGATTTTTTAATTAAGTAAAAGTTCGGTCCGCGAGGAGTGGTATACGGCCGAGCGGCTGTGTGCATCATTGTTTCTCACTGCCCACTTAAACGGTACGTGTTTGCACGATACATACCGGGTGTTCGTTGCATCGGGCGTTATGTACGCGTTATGAACCAGTCCAGACAAATATCTAGTCACCCTGAGATTATGACATTTCTTGTAGAAGCAACTTACGCTTCTGCATTATCCATAATGGAAAGTTCGCTTATGAATAGCTTAAGATTTCCTTTATATCAAGGTACCTCTAAAAAGAATCATTTTCTTAGGAGAAGAGATGAATAATGCTAATGTTTTTCATATTCATCCAGTATTTACATTCCATTGGTACGAGCTTTAAACATGTTTCTATATCTCCTATTCAATTCACGCATAAATACACACCATTCGTTTGTTCGCTCTTTTATCCAGCACACGTAATTGTGCAATTCACGCATTCGATGCCCGTCCCATCGATACACGCACACGCGTGGCCGCGTTCGTGGTAGCCCGCATTCTTGCTGGTCATAGGCAGATCCAGAGGATCCGCGGCATTTCGACGCACGATATATTTCGACTGGAACGAGACACAGAGAACCGTGCCATCCAACGATGCAGCCCTCCCGCTGGACATGCATTCCTGTATCGCGTTCTCGCAGAAACCAACGAAGCTGGCCATGCTCCAGCCGGTCTATCTGAATTTTTCTCGGCGAGGGAGCGCAACGCTCTTACCGAAACAATGTGAAAAGGCTACGTTTGCGGCCGTTAGCGTACCTACTTGCCGATAGATTACTGTATCATATCGTATTGCGTGGTGAGCACGCGAATACCTAAGCGATCTGCTTTTTTCATGAACGGTTTCGCGATACTACGTTCGAGTACCGTTCAGTCCTTGTGGATCCTTGAAGTTTTTCCTAATTCTCCTAATGAGATGATAGACGAAGATTTTAGTAAATTATTGGAATCATTAGATAACGACCGATTTATGACTGCAGCTTATTGTACATTTATCTAATTTGTTTAACGGTTAAACGTCAGTGACACCGATTTAGAAGCGACGGGAGTGTATTTGCGCGAGATGAATGAGTCAGCTGGAGACTCGGCACTCGATCGCGGCGATTTATCGTCGGCGAATGTGCGTTTATATGTATCTCGCGTTATCCCAGCAAGATAAAGAACAGTCATCTTCCATTTCGATTCCACTTCTATTTTCCCGCGATTCTGTTTGTCCAACGACGATTGCGTATCGCTGATCTTAACTCGTGCCGATACACAGATGAATAAACGACAGTGATACAGGTAACAGAGCAACTGCATCAAGCCTGCATTCCGGCGGGTATAATGTACTTCTCGATGGGGACATTGAGAAAAAGGTCCACAAAAGTCTAATTAATACTTAATTTATAACAATTGTTTAAAGTAATCGGATATTGAGGTCTTATCTATCCAAGAAACCGATCGTAATATGATTGGGGTAAAAAATCATTAAGATTCAAACGAAATTATCTCCAAACATCCGCATCTATGGAGAGATTCCTTCGGCTATCGATTAATAATGTATCGTAACATAAAAGTATTTTGCAAATAAAAATTATTTCAATAAAAACAGCTACGAATATTTCGTGAAGCACTTCATTTATTGACATATAAAAGAAATCGTTGCAAAATGTGTTGTACGTAGAACTTCGTGACTGGACATTGCCAAACTTACCTGGCCGACGCGAAGCGCCACCAGAACCAAGAACAGTATCGACACAAGCGCACTGGTGAACGCGTGAAAATTGGTCCTTCTCACTGGCATTTTGGCAGAATGCGTGCCACACTGAACGACTGACTGCGAAACGTGTCACGTTCTTGCCAAGGCTCTCTTAAGGCCAATCTCACGTCACATTTTCGTTATTTGCCGAGAACAATCTCATCGTATCGCGCGCGTTCAGCGAATGATGGGACGGTTTCGAGGCGACCACGCGGTTTTTGCTTTTCCGTAACGACGAACCGAGGAAACGTGGCGATCGTGAGCACGCCCGTATCGTGATCTCGTGGATGGTGTCTCGAAAACTCGATGGTTCGTTCAAGAGAACTGGAAGCGAATGTTATACTGGCGCAATAATGACTGTTCCTCCTGAACTGCCCCCAGGGACGCTCAGGTGTTCAGCGTTTTTGGTGGGGATAGATCGTGCCGCAGCGGCCATTCCCTTTTCATCCGATATTGTATGCGATCCACGCATTCATGTCTCCGAATCCGGCAATGAGCTTTGTATATTTCTCATGGTTGCTGCGCGAGGTCAGCACTGTGCACGCCGCACATGACTCGCGTAGAAAATCTCTTTATCGACGTGCCTGGGAAATTCGAGAACGTTCTCATATGGTTTCGAAACTCTTTTCTACTAGATGGTGACCTTAATTTGCAAAAGGTGACCTTTCATTTTTTCACAGATTGGAAAATGTTTCTTTTTATGCTAATTATATTTGATTGTTAATGTCGACGTAAAAGAAAATAGAATTTGGAATTTTCCATTGAATATATTGAATATTTTTAAAGAGACGCTCGGTTTAAATTGTCAGATGTGAATATTGATTTCCGAAAACGATTCATCTGCTTTAACACTTAAATTTCGGAAAGTCTAAGCCCCATGCCTGAAAAATGAAATATTTTGGTTTTTAAACATTTGAATTAGACGTTTATTATTTTTCCTGATTATATGTACGAAAATTTGAATGCATTGGCAATAATCGAACAATTACGTCCAAGAAACGATTCCATAGATATTGATTGAACGAAGATTGTAGGAATCACAGAACTGTCGATAGTCGTGACGCTGGTAAGGGTATTGTCGTAGCACCTCTTAAGTTTATCACAATGCGGATGAAGGTGAATATCGAAGACAATACGATGCTTATGGAATTATTCATCGATGATGTGAAAACCATCTAAGATAATGACGCATCGTTACCTTTACGCACAGATAATTTTTTTATTACGTTTTTCCAATCCATCCAACAATTGTACATAAATATATACAAGATGTAACGATATTATTAGATTGCGTATGTTTGTGCAATTTCATATTATTATAAACGTAAGTACAAGAATGGAAGTACTTACGTTTATAAATGAATACAGTTAATGACATGATGTACAGAATAAATTACTAAATATATGTAGACACTTGTAGCGATAAGTGGATGAAAAGTATTCATTTAAACGCGGTAATAAAAAGTTAAAGCTATGAGGATAAAAGTTTTACTGGGGCTATTTTTCTTATGTGTTAACGCGAAGCCACCTACTCAAGCCGAGTGGCTTAATTGGTCTCTCGGGAAACTTGAAGGCATGAAAAAGGAATAAAATTTTCATTCAAAGAGAAGCCAGTGCTAATTCATATTTTCTTACGTAACAAGACGAGACGTTATATCTAAAGCGTACTGAAAATGTAATCTTAATAAAAATCCAGACGTTTTTGTTTCCTTTGAAGGTTTTTACCTCGGAAAAATGTTTGTGACCCACTTCCCCACAGAAAAAACAGCTCTAATGTCGACTTCCCTACGCGAAGAGAAGAAAAAGGGGGAAAAAGAAAACGGGAGAGGAGAAAAGAACCGTCTTCTCGCGTTGAATACTACCTCTGTCTATAGTAACACGCAAAAGGGCAGACACTGTTGCGAATATATCAATTTTATTGCGTCCGCGTGAACGTAAACCAGAGCTGCCGCACTGAATGCTATAAACAATGAAATTTTATTCCAAAAGAAGAATCCGTTTCCGCACTTTACCTACACGAGTCCGCACACCTAACTAACACAGCCCCAAACAGTAGAAATTCTATCTCTCGAAAGATTTCAAAGTACGATCTCCATAGGCACAAAAGCTCCGTAAGTGCAACGCCGAGGAATCATGAATAACTGGGTCGCTGCATTAATTCTTTTATGCAGCTTGAGCTTGTGAAACGCAGAGCCGGTCGAGTGAACAGGAGCGATAGAACCGGGAAATCAACATCTCGCCGGCACGCTATCTATAATCATTAAGATATCAGGAAAGAGAACGTCGCAGATACAAAAATAAAGTACAGAAATAATATTGTCGGATTTGCTCCCGAGTTATATCTCATCCCCTGCTTTGATTTCATTTCACATGCAGACGCTTTAGAGGTTCGTCATAAGTTTTAAAAACTAGCTTCGATCGTGTAGAGTTGCGCAACCCGGGACACGAAATAGTATCGCAATGGTTCGATATAGACACAACCACGTTTTACCAATGCGTAACCTGACATTTCATCTTCAGACGACCAGCAGGTGGGGCGTGTTTGATGTGCATCGAACAACATCATCCTATACAAACACGAGAGAGAACCAAGCCTGGGCATATCGGGAAACCAGGGGCTCGTCCAGTTTCCCCCTAGTCGTTAGCTCGCGACACGCTGGAGGGGATGATAAGAAGAACGCAAGCGCGAACCTATCGACCAGCTAACCCTCCGGGTAACACCCTTGCGATCCTCAGCCGAAGCTCACTGCTTCTCCGGCGAACTAGTGGGTAGTACACGCACGCGACACAGGTGAGTACCAGCTTCTCAAATTTTGCCTTCTAAGTGTAATCTAACAGAGAATGTTTGGAATAAAATCGACGTCTAAAATAATTCTTCTAACCGAAAGATTGGCCGAAGAACAAGTGAATCAGTTTATAAATTTGTTTTCTATTGATAATGATATTTTCTTTGTTTGGTAGTTCAGTGTTTGGTATCGTAGTCGGTTTTTGGCTAGGTCGTACTTCTTTCGCGGGGTACTCGCAACGGTCATTGGGGGGTTGAAAGGAATAAGAAATTGATTTTTAGGTAGAGAATATTTTTGAGGTTTCTTTGTCATATTAGTAAGTAAATAAGGTTTCAAATAGATAATTGATATCGCGTTTTTTCGCTGTTGAATAGAGTTTTTCAAAGTTGATAGAGTTATTTATATTTTAATCATATAATAATAAAGATTTATACGAAATAGGTAGGCGTGGCAAGCAAGAAATATTTTAATTCGAAAATAATAGTGATTGATAATTGGCTTTGCGTTTTAACACTAAACCTACCAGTGCTGATTAAATTGATCGTTTTCAAACTTCTACCCAAATTTAACCATATTTAAACGTTATCATATTGCTTCATAATTTCCGACTTTTCCTAAAACGTGCATACAATATATTTTTCGGTATTTACTTCTAGCTTGCTTTTTTCTTTTCTTAGAAAAAATTGTATTCTGTCCTGCCTACCGCGGGCGGTCAGTTTAACTGACCGATAAAATATTTTAATTACTCTCAAAATAAATACAATCAGTACAAAGAAAGAGCTATCTCAAAGTCAGATGACAAACAAAATCAGTAATAACAAATAATAATAACTGTTACACCCGTAATCTTGTCATAAACCATAATTCATCCCTAGATCAAGATGGTCACCAGGTATCAAAACATATCAACTCAGGCCTATAATAATCCTAAGGAACCGCCATAAAATTTAGCATCTTTTACGGTCATTTTAAAAGTCGAAAAGTTTCTTAGGGTTGTTGCTCATTCTGATAAAACACGGGTAAAGCGGGGTTTCCCAATGTTCAACGGTCAATTCCACCCTCGAACAACCGTTGGTGGAGAACGGCCAGCACCCATCAATATTTTCGTATAAATATTACCGTCACAGATTCTTACTTGCTATCGTCCTTCCGACCAGTATACGTCTTAGTTTGTTAGTGAATCAGTCGACATCTAAACTTGTTATCTCTAAAGCTCAGACGGAAAGCACCTCAGGGCGTTTTGTGTAAAGTTGTTATAAAAGAAAAAGTAAAGCATATATAATAACGGACATAGAAGAAGACTGTTCAGTGTGCAATGAACAAGAAACTTCAGCAACTGAAAACAGGATGGAAACACATGAAAAACTATTTACGACCGAATCAGAGTTGAATATTATAAATAATCGTTCATGTCCAGGGCAAAAAGGAAAGAAACTATTATTGACAGAAGAGAATGAGACTGATGTAGAAAACCAACGTATCACAACGGGCCTGATGGAACAGTTTGGAAAGAAATAGATGCAAGTTCCAAACTTGGCGGACATCAGTTGATAATATTTTTAGGGATATGCTAAACGGCATATAATGAAAGGACAAGTAAAGTATAAGAGATCATATAATAAAATGTACGGAAGAAGAAACATTTAGAGCACTGGGACAAAACTAGATGCATTTATAGCTCTGCTATATGCCCGCGGTGCATATCAGGCAAAGAATTTAGATGTCTCACATTTTTGGAATAAAATTTGGTGACCTGCATTTTTTTCAAAAACAATGAGCAGAAATGACTTTACTGAAATTATGAGGTTATACGATTTGATAAGAAGAGCGAAAGAAGCCAACATTTAGGAACCAATAAATTTGCAATGGTACCTACAGTATGGGACTCATTTATAGAGAATTCACAAAATTGTTATCAACCTGGTGCATACATTACTTTTGTATAAAGAATCGCGGGGAAAAATCATGCAATGTAACTATCAACAAGTTCAGATTCATTACTACAAAAAACTTGTCAAGTAAAAAGTTGTAAAGGTTACAAAACTACGAAAATTTGTTCAGAATGCAGGAAATATGCGGCAAATGTACATTTGATAATAAGATAATTTGTAAAAAATGCAGTGAAGTTGAATAAGATATATCTTTATATAAATAAAAGTGTAACTTTATTTAAGTCTAGAATTGAAATTAAACAAAAGTAAATTTGGGCGAAATTTTATGAAAGTTCACCATTTTATATACATTCAGTTATAAATTAACTATTATCTAATTAAAATCATAAAAACTATTACTTCTTTAATCACCGGTCATTTTGACCGGGCACGGTACAAATAGATATACACGAAGTGTCGATAGGTTTAGTGTTAAGTATGTTATTAGTCGAGACTCGTATTCATTTTAAATTTACGCAGGAGCCTATAAACGCAACGGTACTATGTTGATCGAAGAGTTTCTACGAGATAACAATTTATAGTGTGCATAAAGTGACGTGACCGTTCTCGTGGGTATGTTGCGCGTTATTTTCACGTGACGTTTCGATTCTGTGATCTCTACTTTTTTCCATCAATTAGACTCTTCCAATTCTTCGATACCAAAACACATTCTTTCGCGCGCCGCTCGTTACAAAGAAGTTTTTATTGAAATGTTTGATTTCTGATGTACGAAATCACCATTTAAATACGTATATTTAATAATGATAAACATAAACGGTTTTTGTAAAAAGAATTGAATAAAAAAGAATCTAGTTGAAGTTACGCGTTATTTTACGTTTAAAAAACGTTAAGTGATTGCATTAAATACAATACTACGCCCTTTATCACAAAGAATAAAGAGCATTAGTCACCAGAATAAACGTGGTGTAAATACAAATACAAATAATTACACAATTACTCAAAATTAAATATTCCATTGTAAGTATTTGTTCATTTTTTTTCAACTCTTACGGCAGATGCACGTTTCTATATGCGCAGCTTTGAGCGGTCAATGCGCCTGCCCTTTCCTAACGCCTAGGGATTTCCATCATCGATTATTACTAGAGTCTAAGCTAAAGCCCCTAGAAATAATATGATCAGCGTAGATCCGTGAAAATACAAGTGCATCCAACGTAGCTATTCCCATGTTTCGCATGCCTATTAATTAAGCAAATTATGTCTAATACATCGGAAAGAAAGTTTACCCTAACACTTAATTAAATATACGGTATATCCGAATACGTTCTGTACACAGTAAATATTTGAACGATGGGGTGCGCCAAGAAATTTATTGATTTAAAACGTTTTATCACTTTATCCCTCGTGACAATCGGCTGCGCAGTACTGTCAACAATTTGGAAAATTGTTACTCCACCTATCTATATTAAAATTAGGAATAGTTGTCAAGATCTGCTAATTGATCAGTATGACGTTTAGTACATTCTAAACATAAAAATAAATAAAGTGAATCTCCCAAGTTAGATAAGCTGTCACGAATTAATAAGATCGAGAAAAAGAAGATATATCTAAAAACACGTGGAAATTAGAAGGAAGACCGAATTTCGTGGGAGTTCATTTAAAATTCAATTACGTCTAGAATCTCTGACATTAATTGAGTGCAGACAGTTCGCCAAGTTGTCGCATGCAACGGCGAACTTTGTTAGTTTAAAGTTTCGAGTTACTCTGATTAGAAAATGTTTTCACGGGGAAAGCGATTAGCTGGAAGTTTCGGCTTTAAAGAAATCACGAAGCTTCTCTCGACATTCAGTGAAAAGTTTCCACTTTTCAATTCTTTCTTTGCTGCTGCCACTTTATGGTCACGAAATAGCGTGTCGTGTTCAACGAGTAACACCAGCGAATAATTCCGAAGAATTTCAACGAGACGCCACTTTTATCGTAGAAACAAATTGATGGCCCACCATTCCCTGGTAGCCTTGGTAAAAATTGTACGAGGCAATACAACGTTATCAGGCGTTTCTATCGCGGTCCGATATCGAAGCTAAAATCATGCTTCCTATCGGAGAAAGCAAAACACGGTCCGCGTAAAAAAGTTCTTCAACATGTAAAGTCACGCTGCGTCGGTATCGATCAGCGGAATATCAAGCTCCACTTTTACTGTGCTAAATTTCTGTGAGGGTCTCCATCTCGCGCACTCTGAGTCGCGTGGACGTTTTTATCACGGACCTCGCACGAGCACTCGTTGTTCCTTACTAAGAACATAGAGGTTTAATTATAGCGATACTTCAGTATAAAAAAGGAGAGTAAAAAAAGAATGTATCTCCTCTTTTTTTAAACCGGTTGCCAGATATTTCCATGGCTTTCAACAATCTATACCCGTAACTCGTTCTTTTAAATATGCCAGTCGCTTTCGAAGAAGATTTTAAAAACTTGAATGACACTCTTGTCCTGACATAATGTGTATACTATAGTAACACTATACCTCGGACATTTACGTAATCAACGCTTCATAATCCCCTACATGTATGAGAAGTGCTTACATAGTCGTAGGAATTTTATATTAATCCAACAGTATTCCATCAATGGACATTCATTCAATATTACAAACCAGAAACCATTCTAACCTTCTCTAATCATCGCGTACCATTTCCTTTGCAGATTTCAACTTGGATTGTTTAGTTTCTCCTTCCTCACCTCTCTTATTTCATCCTTTCCTTTTGGATTACCTTACGTTGAAGTGTTATTCCATAACTTGGGAAAAAAAGGGCACAACAAAGAGACGAATCGGTAGTGAACGTCGTCAAGCGAGCCACAAAGCCCAAGACACAAAATCTCCGCCTCCACCTCCCGTTCCTAAGCCGCTCGAAGAACACGAAGATCGTCGCATACGGTGACCATCCGACCACCAAAAGCCACCGGAATTCTGCGGTTTTGGTCAGGAGGACGAGGTCGGTGTTAAACCAGCAAGATTACCGGCCGCGGCGGTTGCGCCAAATACTGTGGTACAGCCCCTTCACCCGGCAACATTTCATTCTCCAGCTTTCGACAGTCCTTCACTTCCAATGTTAACTACCTGAAACGGAGGTGAGTGCCTGTCTCTTTCTGTGTCCAACAGCGCGATGCCTATTCTGTTGTCTCTTTGCATGCTCGATAACACTTGGCCGATGGAATTTCAACACTTTCCCTTCTGACCGTCTCGAGAGATTCGAGGAATTCGGAAGCGAGATGCTTCGGATATCTTCAGATTTCTATTTGTTCGTTCAATAGCTTCAAGCCTTATTTGTTGAGTGATTAATACTAAAAGTACTAGTCATTAGCAAGCCGGTAAAAGTTAATTCTCCGCCTAACGACTGGAAATACTCGGAGGTTTTTATACTCGAAAGAATGACAAGTGCTGTTATATGAATTATTTAAAATAATTAACTCAAGATAATAAATTCGAAATTTTTTGGCTATTGCTTTTAATATATAAAAAAAGTATAATTGAAGGTCTCACGAGAAGGAATCTAGTATTAAATCATCGTCAAACATCGTTTAGATTGAAAGGTCACTGAGCTTCTTTTTAGAACATTATGATAGATTAACGTCCCTGTCAACAACGAAAACTGTAACTTTGTTTCGCGTAGTTGAGAACGTCCAGATACGTTCATAACAATACATGCTAGTACATGGAAATGTATAAAGCAACTCGAAACAAAGAGTCCGGGTCGTTGTACGATAGATGCTTGCAGAAGAGTACATTTGTCGCAGCCTTTTCATTGAACCTGAAGACAGAGTCTTATAATAGAAGCCTAAAATAATGAACGACCATCTTGATAGAAAGCTTAGTTGAATGGTCTCCTATACGTATATATTCCGAATGGTGATATGTCGTATAATATCTCGGCGAATAAATTGCTCGTTCAATTAACCCTGGGCCGACTATCTGATTTATCCATTGAACTATAATTAACAGCCGGTATTCGAGTTCCACGAGACCCAAGCGATGGGCCGATAATTCCAACTACATCATAACGGCTATTATTTAATTATAGCACAATTAAGCGTAAATTAATACCGCAAAAAGAAGTGGAGTAAAATACCACGCAAGCATCTCGGTGTTTCTTCATGTTTTATAAATCTCGATGTATGTATGCATGCAAATTATCCAAGAAAATGCTTTTGGCATCGTGCAAATCAGCCTAAGGCTCGACGTTTTCCATCTTGGTATTAGACGAGTGATTTAAAAGCTCTAAGAACAACTTTTTGTGTTAATTACAGCCACCGCCTCGTATCATTTAAACCCGTAACGATATTACGCTAAATATTTCAAATTATTTCAAGCTTACCACGCATTCCATGTCTTCGTTACAATTTATTGTCCAACCAAGCAAAACGTCGCTATCGGGTATCTGTCATCCGATTGTCTCGTCGTCAGGGGGAAGTCGTCTCTACCTGTACCTTGCAAAGCACGAGCGATCGTCGAGCCGTATTTCACGCAAGACACCGCAAGACGAGACATGTCCACTACTAAAAGACACCATCCGACTACCAGCTACGCGCATCAGAACCAAATATGTCATCACATCCCGTGTCACGCATGCAAACCAGCAATCAGCAATCGTCCATCATCGTCGGCGCGCCATCTATGCCATTTATACCCCGAGCACCTCTGGCTGTTCGATGTGTGCATTATAAACTAAGCCGTGTGATCTGCAAAAAAGCAACCAAGCAAAATAAAAAAATGCAAAAAGCGTGAAATCACTGGACGATCGGACCGATTGCCACTATCACGACCACGACCATAGTTTGTCTTCCAGGTTCTCGTCAGGGGATTTGAGCTCGGAGCTCGACGATGAACCAAGCACAGACTCCGGGCTGGCCTCCATGGCCAGGGATTCGTCCCAATCGTATCAAGCGGTACCGGATCGGCCATTGCAGTCTCAGCCAACTCCTGTTCCACCGGCTAACCAGCCACCGGTACCTGGAGCACCGCCGTCTGGACCACCTCAACCCGTTGGCGGCGATCTAAGTCTCAACCTGAGACCCGGATCGAGAACCACCAGCGCTCCTTCCTCGCCGGCCAAGACCCGGGAAAGTTTACTCCAGAGGGTTCAAAGTTTGACCGGAGCTGCTCGCGACCAGGTACACTTTATCTTCTTTTTAAATAATTAGAAAAACTTAGTACAGAAAAGTTAAGCTGGGGTACGAATTTTTAATCCTTATCACTAAGTTATGGATATTTGTACATTTATTAAGGAAATTAAAAGCTACAAAAATACACAAAATCCACATGCATAATAGACGAAAGTATATAGTACACGTTATATTTAGACGGAACAAATGTCCGGGGCAAGATTCTATTTCTTAATTATAAATATAAATTTGTATAAACATCCACAGTTTATTTATTACCCTACTGCTGACAATTAGGGTAGAACCCTGGCTTATATTTGATAGCATTGCAATTGATCGGAGTGATAAAGGTTAAATTATATAATAATGAACGAAAGAAAGATATACATGTATATTTGATCTGTTTTATATTAGACTCTTTTTATCATATTAGTAACAGCCATCCGTTCTAGCAGATATATTACGTCTATTCGTATCTCCTGTCAAATATAATGTCGTTTTCTAAAATTACAGTGTTTTTCGTACCATTTGCCTTTTAAGTCTCCTTTGGTTTATCACTGTACGAGAGAAATATATGACTAAGCATGATTACTTCCGTGAATGAGTTCCATCTTCAAGTCCAATTCCAAGGTGTACACACAGTGTGTAACATATAAATGGTTACTCATTCTCAAACAGTCAGATTACATAGAAATGTAATCGTAGAAACGTGCGGTGCAAAACCTTCGATAGAACGACGTTAGTCAGATTTCAAGCTAAAATTGCGTTCTTGCATGTTCAACGCGTTATCTGGTCTTTCTAATGCTTTCGAAGAAATACGCAAGCATTTGCGTGCACGAAATCCCATTAATCTCTTCAGTATTCATTATCCCATTATACCATTTGGAGCGTTTGGATCTGTTAAGACGTAGCCCTATATGTAGAAGAAAAATTCTTTCTTTTTTTGCGTGTAAATTGTGGGAATGCAGTAGTGTAACTAATTGTCTAAATCTTCTTTACAAACAGGGTGCATCGATTCTAGGAGCGGCGGTGTCAGGTACAACTAGAGGGCCATCTTACAACAAAGATCGGTGTTTCACCCTGCTAGTCATCGATGACCAGAATACCGACTGGAGCAAATACTTCCGGGGTCGTAGGCTTCACGGTGATTACGAGATCCGTGTAGAACAGGCGGAATTTAGGGAATTGTCGTTAACTGCGAGCGAGACTGGTACTATTGTGTCCATGGCGGTTTATCGTAACGGAACCAAAGTCATCCGGTAATTATTATTAATTATAATTATATATTATCTTTCAATTTACGTATCTCTCTCACTTAAATTTATCTATATATATGTCGGGTTCACATTATGATTAGGGTTAGGGGCGTGAAACGAATCTTCATTTGGATTACACATTGTTGTTATGCAATAGAGATGTTGACTAGTGCAAATATCACTAGTGCAGAATTTGACAAGTAATCGTGGTAATGACTCGAGATGCTAATGACAATGATCCTAGGTTCAATAACGAATCCGCGGTCAACGGGATAAAATGCGCTTTCTTCCAAAGCCCAAGTTGCACTCAACTTGCTTGTCTACGGTACAAATATTACTGAACTAACTCTTTGTTAAAACGTGGAATATCCACCGAGCGTAAAGACGGTATGTAACTCGCTAATGAGACCTCACGAGAGAATGACTTTCCGTCACGATGATGCTGCAGAGGTAGACTATGATGGCGTGTATCTAAGAGATCTTACACGAGATCATCGAATTTGTCGAGGAAAGCCTCCGTTCGGAAAGTGAGGGAAACGGACGTTCCTGTTAATTGGTTAGTTTCCATGTTGGTGATTAGAGAAGGATGCTAGCCGCCCTTGAGGGAAAATTACTAGCGGGAAGCATCGTTCGTGAGAAAAATAGATTTCCCCTATCTTCCCGTAGTTGGGACAAAGACTGTTTGCTTGTTTGAAGGACTTCAGTTAACTAAATCTTAAGATTTGTAACGGGTCCGTTACAAGAAACCGTTGGAATGTTTACTGTCGAGTGCCGCTACAACTATTTCTTTTAAGGAGAGCTATAGAATTACTCCAGCTCTATGTTAGGTAAGAACATTCATCCCGTGACCGCGGCTACGTTCAGCGACTTGTTGTCGCTTCGAGTCAAGCTCATTATCACAAATCTCGAACAATTATATTCGAGTTAAGTTATAGAGGCTAAAATATTGGGGGTTTTCCGAAGAATTCCAAAGGAAGGCCCCGGTGTCCTTTCATCTCCGACATGTATATAATATATATTTTTTTTTTTTTTTTTGAGAAATTTAAAGGTGCAAAAATGCATAGAACGTGTTGAATATGTAAAAATGCATAAAATATCGGAAGTATAGAATTCACTATAATATTTAATAGAAGAAACCAATCATGAAAATATGAATTTACATAAACATCCGCAGTATACTTGTTATATGTATATTATATCATAATATTTATTTATTTATATGTATATGTACGTATTCTACTTATTTTAATCAATATGTATTGTTTATTTTCACTGCGAAAGTAAAACAGACAAATTCTGTCGACAGATCTTTCAAACCTGATTTCGTCCTGATACGACAGAACCTAAAGGACGCCGGAGAAGACAACAAGAACCTTCTTCTCGGTTTAATGTACGGCGGTGTCCCGAGCATTAACAATCTCACGGCAATTTACAACTTTCAGGTATGAACTTTGCGTGAGCTAACGACCACATTGAAGATACTTCGAATAAAGGAAACGATTAAGAACTTTAACAATTTCGCATGAAAATGGATTTCTTAATCGTGCTTCTTTTTTCAGGATAAACCATGGGTGTTCGCACACCTATTGGGACTTCAACGTCGTTTAGGAAAAGACAACTTCCCCTTGATCGAGCAAACTTACTATCCCAACCATCGTGAAATGGTAAGTTGTAGAATATAATTAAAATAAGGTAACTGCTTAGGTCTGTATATAGAACGAAAGAATATGAGTTTCTCGTTTATTTCCCATCGTTTAAGTATTATAATACTTTACAAAAGTTATCAAATGAAAGAACTAAGACTAAGAACATACATCGTCTCGTGTTACGTTCTCAAGCTAGGAAATGCCGGCTAACTTCCGTCACGTCGCGCGTTTTTTAGTGTTTTGTACTAAAGTCCTACCCATGTGCAGGGTTTTTGTTTCTCGTCACTCTTATCGAGAAACAATACGTGATTACGCTTAGATACATAGTTGATAGGTTAGAGTACCTAACTTGATTGTAACATTTCTAACACAACGCTTAGCATCTTTGTGCTACCCTCCGAATAATGAGACAACATGATCGTTAAAAGGAAACTTGAATTTTTTTTTCGTAAGAAATTATATTCCTTAAACATTGTTTTTTAATACTATAAAATATCTCTTTTTCTTTTATTTATTCATTTATTTTTTTTTAACTGACTCGATTGTAACTTAGTTTCAAATATTCAGAGACCTGTACAAGACTTTGCTAAAAATTAAATACGTGTTAACAGTTTCTTATATAGAAGAAATAAAAGAAGAAGAAACTACGTACAACGAAATGAAAATGAGAATAATTTAAAAATGTATAATATACATCAATAGCCTAATATATACAACTAAAAAGATGGCCAATCATCTATACCTGCTATTTCTGATTTCACGAAATTCAGTCGATTCATATTACGAGTCAACGTTAGTCTACGATTCAATTAAACGAAATAAGGTTAACAGCGATGATTAACGGTAGAAGAGGAAAATTTCAATCTGAATCGATACGAACAAAGTTTTTTACCGATGATTGTTCTCAACGCGGATTAATTAAACGTTGAATATATTTAACGACGTTTATTATTCGGTTTGTGAAAGAAGTCAACGATCCCAGAATAAATATTACCGACGACCGATTAAAGAAAAGATGAAAATAGAATATCAATTATTACAAACGCGATGAAATAGACATCGAAACATCAAGGAAGTAATTTATCATGAAAATGCAAGCAGTTTCAAGAGTTCGACGGTTTATATTATACCCCTAAATAACAGCTTCCCCTCAGCTAGCTGTGTACGATTTTCCTCAATCGATTCCCTGCTTCGTGTATTTAATCAGCGTACAACTTTTGTACTCGTCGATATATCACTACCCGATTAATACTTCTAATGGAACGCAACAATAAATAGAGCATGACACGATACAGAAATGAAAAACTTACATTGCGAATTAATGCTATCTCGACCATTTGACTTGGAAAATTTCTTGAATATTTAATTATTACAAATATTTCTTCTTTGAAGATACCACATTGGGTACACAGTTCGCTACAACACACGTTATAAGATAGCATTAATTTGTCAACATGTTTACATGGTACAGCGCCAGTTTGCTGCATATTGGAACGCTCATTGCACACGAAGTAACATTATTCTCGTGGGGATTCTGCGAAATTTCACAAATACGTTCGTAAATCGAGGCATGCTACGTGACTTGGCACGAGCAACGTCGATTTTTCGCCAGCGTGATCGATTTTCTCGTTCCACCGTAGAACTTTCGCATGCATCGAAATAGAAAGATTTAAGGTTCTCGCGCCCTCTGTTGCTCGCGTTTCTGTTGATACTCCTTGATGCAGTTCTTATAAGGAACCGACGGGACCCAAGAGCATCCAGCTGGTCCTGGCATGCAAACGCCATAATCCCTCTGGCACTCTTCCGGACCAGGTTTGCTCTCCCATAGACATTCTTTGCCATCCGTGCCTTCTAGAGCGGCACCCTTGGTCCACCAAGGTGTGTAATAGATCTGCAATTCATGAAACGAGCAGAGTATAATTGAAAGAAAACAGTGGAATTCTTGGTCAATAAGGATTCGATATTATGGCCGATTGGTTAAAATTGATCGTAGCTGAGATGAGAATTCGGTCACATGCAACTGTCTGTGTCGTCTTGCACTATTGAACTAATCATTATTAGCGAAATTTTACAAGTCACAAGTTATAAGAGATGGAAAAGGAACTCTATAAGTACAATTTGCAATGTGTTAATTTACTAACGTTAATAGTTGGTAAATTACTGTAAAAAAGATCTCAAATGATTGATTTTACATCGTTAGTCGATTGACAGAATTTTAAATATTTTTCAGTATTAAAATTAGGATTATTGCATATTTAGGAAAGTAATCGACAGAAAAATGTGTCATGAAGGCTTCATATTTGTACAAATAAAAATTTCTCACTTACGTTACACGGGCAACCGTAACGATACAAATGCCTGAAACCTTTTCGTTGTCTGCTCGTCACAGAACGCCAGGCCATCTTTATACCACACAACGATATGTTCGCCTTTTCACCATCATAAGTTTTGCCGCTAACAACGTAAGTTTCTCCAACTTCAAGGTCCACTCCACATAAAACTTCGGACGATGCGGTCCATAAAATATTTTTCTTCAGGACGGTGTACGATGTCTTGTTGTTTACCTGTAATTAAAAAACAATCAGGTGTAGATTACGATACAAAACTGATAAGTAAAAATAGTGCAACTGCCATACGAACCTTGAAGATTTTATTGATTTTCACGCTATAGGCGATTTCATGCTCGTTCATGTTCATCATCTTCTTCACTCTTACAAGAACGACTATCATAGAGGAGAGAAAAAGCATGTTTATAAAGTAACAGAAGAGATCGTATTTTTGTAGCAAATTTCATGCAAATTCTTACCGAAATCTGAATTGCAAAATAGTATTTGAGGGTGACTGCTCATGCAGCTACACGCCGCGACCCTCTGCAATGGAGCCAGCGACAGCGCTATGAGCAGAATGTACATCCAAAACCTCAATTGCCACATCTGGAAACAGAAGAATCGATTCAATTACATGGTGAAAGTGAAAAGTAGTTTCTGGATGTTTTACTGATGGCAACAAAAAAAGATGCATTAAATCTTATCAAGTATCATTGGAATTAGATTAAATGTTTATCAAAGATAAGAGTGAAAGGTAGAAATGATACGATAAGAGGCAAGGTAATGAAACGATCTTGAATCGAAGACGTGTAACCATTGTAAGAAGATAATGAAACTTCTGAGAAATGCTTGTTCTCTCAGACAAGATCCATTTATCTCCGAAATCTGATTACATGTATCCGAACGATCCGAGACAGTTGTCACCTGTCGGATACGGCGTAACGTATAACTCTATTCGACGAACGAGAAACTGACTGACTAAGTCATGAGAATGCGTGTCTCGTTTTTGATGCAACAAACGAAGCATCGCGTCGAGGTGAATCATGACTGTTCCTAAACGACTAATCTGAATTTGCTATTGCTCCATCTAAATCTGGTATCTCGGCAGCCCACCTGCAAACCTCGTTAATGCAAATTTATTCAATCCTTGCAGAGCTGTAACGTGTGGTTAAATTGATGTGCGAATTCTGCGAAACTGACGATCAACAATTGTTAACACGAGGTCTTGAATAAGCTGCCACTGGCCTCAAACACGAAACTATCCGAGCAGAGAATAATTGACAAAACTTGTTTAAATGGACTCCTGAGTCACGCATAGTGACTAAATCCTTTTAAATCAATGAAAATACTCGAAAATAGTGTTATGAGTAAAAACATCAATCATGGAGAACAATGTTATAAATTCATTCATAACACCGAGTATAATGGGGAAGAATCACCTTTGGACCGACAATAAACGTTACGGAAGCGCTGCAATTCGGCCTAGTTTATCGACATCAGCTGGGCCAGGTCTAAACATAGACGTAAAATGGAAACCGAAGTCCAACACGGACCAGAAACGCTGTGAGCCGTTTCAAAGATCGTATTGACGATACGTTTCCTTGGACTGCGAGAATAGACCGGTGGACAGCTTAGAATCTAGGCATTCCTAACGGAACCGACTGGCTGCTGCAAAAATTTCTTCGGTAACTATACTGTGATTATGTGCATCGATAAATTCCAAATGAATTGTTGGTATTTACACACACACGTGTGAGCGCGCATGCGCACGCGCGCGCACACACACACTATACTACTTTTATAACTAAGTTTTAACTAATTAACTAATACTTTATACTATAACGGAGAACTTAAAGAATATTAATGCTTTATGCCAGAAATCTTGAACTACTTTTTCAATTTCCAATAAAAGTTTCTAATCAGAAATAGATCCAACGAACGAATTAACAAAATATTTCTTATGTTAATGTAACAAATCAAAGGAGAAAATGGGGTGAGACATATACGCCCTCTATATATGTGTTCTATGAGGACTGATACGGTAAATCACGGTAAAAATGAGATATTTTGTAAACGTAGATATAAGTATTAACAAAACATGGAATTGGAATACGAATACGCACATAAATAATCATAGCAATTCAGATACTGAAAATAGTTGTGCGTAGTAAACAAGACAAGACAGCAATGGTACACAAAGTAATTTTCCGATGCCATAAAGATTTCTTGCTCATCCATTTGTTAGAGAACTCACATCTCTCACTAGTAACGCATACAAATTTTGATCAAGAAATTGTATTTACAAAACGAACGATAATACACGAAAGCATGTAGTAGGCTCGGCCTATAAATAGTAAAATCGTGAAACATATTTGTTTCAGTAGGAGCAAAGAGGTTAAGACACGAACACGAAAACGATTTCGGTGAACTATATCGCCATCGAACTTCAACGGAATGTACTGAACGTGCACAGATCGTTAGCGTGCTCAGGCAGTCACGATATTCAACCCTGTATCGATACATCATGCTCGAAAATATACGTTTACGAAGCGTAACACACAGTGTTACTTCAAAGCGCAAAATACATTTATAGTAAATGACAGACAAATTCGTAGGTGTTCTCGTTGGAATCATCGTTTAACACGCTTTCCAATAGCACTCATGCAATATCATTGAACATTTCGTGTGATA